TGCAATGGCGCGATCTCGGCTCACCGCAACCTCCGCCTCCTGGGTTCAGGCAATTCTCCTGCCTCAACCTCCCGAGTAGCTGGGATTACAGGCACGCGCCACCATGCCCAGCTAATTTTTGTATTTTTGGTAGAGATGGGGTTTCACCATGTTGACCAGGACGGTCTTGATATCTTGACCTCGTGATCCACCCGCCTCTGCCTCCCAAAGTGCTGGGATTATAGGCGTGAGCCACCGCGCCCGGCCCTTCTCTTTCTAACTTCTTGGCCACACCTATTTTTTGTTTTAAGTCCTTCAAGGGGCGCAGAGAAACAGGCCCTGGCTGCCAGCATAGGGCACGCTTTATTTCTTCTGAGGACACAAACTCTTGTTGTTAACATACATTATTAAGAGTTGGCGGACCCAGACTTCATCTGAGCCAAATTTTGGCCAGAAAACAGCAGGGTTTAAGATTGGCCCCTGGGTCCAAAGAAAGCAACAACATTTGATCATCAGTTGCTTTTTCTTATGTTTGGTCCTTTCATTCTCTTTCCAGTACTTAAGCATTAGTCCTAATGGACTATCGGGAGGGATTCGGTCACTCTCATCTCTCTTGTTTCTTGCCTTACTTCCTTTTCCAGGCTTAGTAGAAGAAGTATTTCCCATATTGGGTGCTAAATAGACTTAATACCACCGCACCCCCCCCACCCCAAACCAGAGAAAAAAAAATCTCTCTCAGGAGATTCAGTCCCCCAGATCTCCCAGATCAGAGATTTCTCATCTGTCTGTTTCCCTGAAGGCCCAATCCCCAAATCCTCCAGATCAGGGATGTCTTCCCTATCTCTTTCCCAGGAGGCCCAGCTCCCCAGATCCTCCAGATCAGGGATGTCTCACCTATCCTGTCCTCAGTGGCTTGCTAAGGCTCAATTTCTTACACCAGAAAAGTCATGCCTGTATCCTTTTCCCCGGGAGATAACAATTCTCCCTTCCGTTTTCCCTCTTGAAGGTTATATACTGTAACTATTCACTCACACACACACTCCTTTCAATGGCTGACCACCAAGGAAGTACTTTGCCGCCCTTTTGAGGTTTTTGCTACCTTGGCTTCTGCACATGGTCTCACCATGGTCTTGCAAGTCTCTCCTTCTCCCCTGCGTTGCTGAGAATCCAAATGTGTTTCTCACACTGGGTAAGTCCTGGCTCTCTCCTTCGGGGCCACCAAAATAGTGTGGAGGGGAGCCTCCCCACAAGAGAGGAACAAGGACTGCCCCAGAGGGGAAACAGAATCCCCATTCGGGCCACCAAATTGTTGGAAATGGTTTTATAACATTGGGAAGCATCCACGCTGAGACAATGAATCGCTCAGTAAGGCTAGTTTACTTTCTGCAGAAAGGGTGCAACTCACCAGCAGTCGTGCCATGAGAGCACACCTGAACAAAGGAGACAGGCACAGTTAAACCCTTTCATAACCTGACACAATTGCCCCACTGCTGTGTCCAGTTTCCATAGGCCGGAACGGAACCTCACATTCTATGCTCGACTTGACTGGCTAAAAACTTGAAAATTTCCTGAATAGATAAGGGGAAAGAAGATGAGGAAGAAGACAAGGAAGAAAAGGAAGCTAGTCAGGAGAAGGTCAGGAGAGTTTCCAAACAAGGAATGGCATGCACCAGGGTTTGGAGCTTGCCCAGTTCTGTTCAGACATGCCAGACTGAGTCAAGGTAGCTGATTTAAGATGTAACTGATTTAGAGAATATATATACATGGGAATATGTTTATGTTAATAGTGGATAATGGCCATAGAGCACATGGCCTTATAATGTAATCTAAGATATAAACTTTGAAGAAGAAGTTTCCCATCTCTCACACTGAATCTGTAGTTTGGTGTTTGTTACTTCAAATATTTCTTCCTCACTTCCTTCTTTTGGTATTCTCATTTTATGTACCTTTTGTAATTGTCACAGTTATTGGATATTCCATTCGATTTTTTTTCTCATTCTTTTTTCTATTTGCTTTTCCGTTTGAAAAGTTGTTATTAACATATCTTTGAACTCACTGATTCTTTCCTGCATGTTGTTCAGTCTATGAATGGGTCCATCAAAAGTATTCTTCTTTTACTGTGACAATGTGTTTTACCTCTAGCATTTTGTCATGCCACACTATGCCAAATGTCACACCCAGGGTCCAGTTCCAGTCCATGCTGAGGTCCAAAGGGAGTGGGTAGGTGGCAGATAGTTGAAAGAACAGTTGGAGGTACTGTAGGGAGGTGAAATATAGTTGTATTCAGCAGCTTTCTCATCAGCAGCTCTCACACTGTCCGCCTTTGTCTCAGCTGTCTGCTCTAGCCCTGTGGCTCCTCTCAGCAGCTGGCTGTGCGGCTCCTGCCACCCCCACAGCCCCCACATCTGCAGCTGCACTCTCTGGCCTGAAAGCCAGCTCTCCCTTATAGGATCAGCAGCTTAACTCTTTCCCTCTGGGCACAAGTAAGTTCCTGGCTCTCCGCTGTCTGCCTTTAAGGTGAACCCCATGTACAGCATGAACCCCATGTACAGCATCAGCAGGGGAGTTATACCTTTTACAGACAATAGTGGCTTAGAGCTTAACGTGAGTGTACACAAACAAGTGGAGTTGTACACCAGCACTCCAAACTCACTGAATCACTCCGGCCTGGATGTCTGCCTTGGCCTATTCCTGACCAAAGCACATCCACATACCTTACATATTGATTCTTTCTCACTTTCATCTTTCTGCTTACATTACCCATTTTTTTCTTGTATGTTATCCACTTTATCCATTAGAGGCCTGAACATATCAATTATAATTATTTAAAATTTCTGGTGTGATAATTCTGAAATCTCAGCCATCTCTAGTCTGCTTATGAAGTTTGCTTTGTCTCTCAAGACTATTTTTGCCTTTCAGCATGTCTTGTAAATTTTTGTTGAAAGTTGGACGTGATGTATAGGTGAAAGAAACAGAGGTACATAGACCGTTAGTGCGATGTTTTATGTATCTGGGCAGCAGTTAAACTGTGTTTACTGTTTGTTGTAGTTGCACGTGTCAGCAGCTAAAATTTTCTCTAGTGTCCTTTTGTCTTTTCTGTTGTCTCTGGGTTTCCTTAGAGACTTCTTCTTAAATAGGATCTGAGGCTTGCAGTTCTTTTAGCTGTAATCCTCTGTTATTATACAGAAGCCCTATTAGCATGCTGGTAATATATGGCGGAAAGGAAGGATTCTATAATTGTATGATTAGGTTTCTGTCTTTTAGTGAGCTTGTGTCCTTAGGTTATGACCTTCACAAATGCTTGTCATTGATTCCCTTTCCCCAGCTTAGGTGAAACAGAAAAGTGAAAGGAGACTAGAGTTGTATATTTCCTTTTTCCCAGGTCAGTTAGGCTGTGGCAAGACCCAGGTAGGTAGGATCTGGTTAAACAGTTTCCTTTGAGGGCAGGCCTTTGTTAAGAACAGAGCATTCTGGGCTTATTTAAAAATGGTTACTTATCCCCCTTCCCTACAACAGATATGATAAATTTTTCTGATATTTAACTTGAGGCCTCCTGGAGTTTTTCTCTATCAAGCTAGTTCCTAGCTCAATCTCTATCAATTAGCCAAATACCATTTAATTGTTTTTAATAGGCTCCCACGGTGGCTTCTGCGTTCAATAAGCTGTGGTTCCCAGTATTTTGTCTCTCCAGTTTTCAGGGCAGTGGTTTGCCATGTGACCTCGATTCTCTGATACATCAATTAAGTATCACTGTTTTTTGGTTTGTTCAGCTTTACCTTGTGACAATAGAGTGATGGCATCCAAAATTTTTACATGTCAGACCAGAAACCAGAAGTTTCCAGATTTTCAACTTTGTAATCTATCTGCCTACCTATTCTGATCTGAGATATATGTTGGAAATGATTTTTTTAACAGTTTGTAATATGCTTTATTGTCTACAATGTTTTAATTATGTCATTAAATTTATAGACTTTTAATCATATTGCATCTAGATTTTGAATCATATTTAGAAAGTTTTTAACCATTCTTAAATTAAAAATAAATTAGTCAATATTCTATATTAGAAATATGAATGGTTTTATTTTTATTTTCAGAGAGATGATTCATTTGGGGTTTATCCTACTGCGTGATTTGAGGTATGGAATTAATTTTTATCTTTTTCAAAATTACTATTCTGTTGTTTTAATATAAATAATTGAGTAGTTCGTCTTTAACTGAGTGAATTGAGATTCAGTCTATTCCTATAGTAAGTTTCCAGATGTGCTTGGGTCTATTTCTGGATTTTGTGTTCTGTTTCATTAGTCTGCCTGCCTAGTCATATGTGAGTACCATCTGTTTTAATGACAGAGGATTTGGTGTATATTTTAATTTCTGCTAGGGCTAGTCCTTCCTTACTGCTTTGTTTAGTGTTTGCCTAATTGTTATTCCTTGATTTTTTTTCCATATAAGTTAAATGAACTGTCAAGCTCCAGAAGACAGCTATTTTATTAATATAAGATTAAATTTATGTTAACATTTTTATGATGTCGAATCATCTTGTTAAAAAACAAGAAGTCTTTTTCCATTTGTTCAGATCCATTTTGGATCTCTCAAGGATCTTTTCAGGCTTACCTTTTATAGTTTTTGCTTATTTCTTTTCTGTCACTCTATGGAGGTGTAATTGGAATTCAATAAACTATGCCTATTTAAATACACAATTTGAACAGTTTTGGCATGTACAGACCTGTAAACTAAGACCAGAATTAAAATATAAAACAATTCCATTATCCCCCCAAAATGTCTTCATGCGTATCTATAATTTATCTATTCTTGCACCCTGGTACCCAGGAATCTCCAATCTACTTTCTATAACTACAAATTACTTTGCATTTTCTAGATTTACATGAATAAAATTATGTTGTATGTACACTTTTGTTGGCCAGGCTTCTTTTACATAATTTTGAGATTCTCCCATGTTGTTACATGTATCATAGTTTGTTCACTTTTATTATTAACATTCCACTGTTTAGATATACCTGAGTTTGTTTATCCATTCACCTGTTAATCATTTGAGTTGTTTTTAGTTATTGGCTATTACAAATAAAGGTGCTATAAACATAGCATATAAGACTTGGTGTGGGCATGTTTTTATTTATTTTTTTCTTGAGTCAATACCTTGAAGTGGAATGGATTAGCCTTATGCTGGGTATGTATCCAACTTTCTCATAAATTGCTAAACTGTTTTCTAAAGTGGTTTTACTATTTTGCATTTTCACCAGCAGTATTTGAGACTTATAATTTCTTCACATTTTGCCAACTGTTGGTATGGTCAGTTTTGTTAGTTTTAGTCTTTCTAATGGGTGTATAGTAAAATCTCATTGTGGTTTTAATTTGCATTTTCAGAATGACTAGTGATGATTATCTTTTCATGAGCTTGTTTTTGGTATGTCTTCATTTATACAGTGTCCGTTCAAATCTTTTGTCTGTTAGTGGTGGAAGTAGGAACAGGAAGTGTTTATCTTATTATTATTAAGTTATATGAGTTCTTTATATATTCTGAATATAAGTCCTTTGTCTGATATATGTATTCTAAATATCTTCTTCCATGTTATGGGTTGCGCTTTATTTCCCCCTTAATTATAATTTTCAAAGAACACAGGTTTTTAATTTTGGAGATGTGCACATTATTTTTATGTGCACAATTATTTTATACAAATACTAAATTATCATTACAGTAAATTTTGAAATTGGATAAAGTATAACAACTTTGTTCTTTTTTTTTTTTTGTTATTCCGTGTGCGTTACATTTACCAATAAATTTTAGAAATAGCCTGTCAATTTCTACCCAAAAAAAGAAACCTACTGAGATTGGTATTGCATATAAATCAACTTGGGAATAATTTTCAATTAAATAATTGGCCATATGTAGACTTCTGTGTTGAAAATTATTTTCCTTCAGCGCTATAAAGAGCTGCTCCAGTGTTTTCTAGCCTCCCTAGTTTATATTGAGAAATTTGTGGTCATTTGGAATCATTATTCCCCTGAATGTAATACATTATTTTGGAGCTGCTTTCAAAAGTTTTTATATGTCTTTGTTTTCTCAGCAGTTTAATTATGATGTCTCCAGGCATATTATTTTTCCTTTAGTTGTGTCATATCCTCTTTAGGGTTCAGTGAGATTCTTGAATATGTAAATTTGTGTCTTTCATCATATTTGAGCATTTTCAGCCATTATTTCTTCTGCCACATAATTTCTTTTTATTTGACATTTCAATAGCATGTCATTTAGACTTTTGATATTCATCTACAGGTCACAATGGCTCTGTTTGTTTTTATTCTTTTCTCTTTCTTCTTCATGTTGGATGGTTTCTATTGATATATCTTTCACGGACTCATATGTCATTTTCTTGCGTTAATTGAGGTCTTTTGATAAACGTTTTAATTTCAGAAATTCTGTTTTTCAAGTTTTATGTTTCTATTCAGTTCATTTTCATAGGCTGTAGTTCTTTGCTGAGAAATTCTATTTTTTATTTCATTTAAATGTATTTTCCATGACCTCATGTGGTATAGTTATGAAAGCTGCTTTAAAATCTTTATCTTATATTTAAACTCCAAGACATTTTATGGTTAGTGCCTATAGATTGTCTTCTCCCTTGAGAATTGATGAAATTTTCTGAGTAGTTTCTGATCGTGTTCAGTACTTTATAGAAAATGACACTGTATAGCCCCTGGGACCTGTATAATCACTTGGTGAGTTTGGTAACTTTTTTAAGGAGGCGGTCAACTCATTTAGGGTCAGACCCCATGTACGGTCTCACTTTCTCTTAGTTGTTGTTCACATATCAGTTGAGCTCCGAACGTTTTGCTGTGCTGGTTTGGGTCTGTCCCATACATGCATAACTCAGGGGTGAGCCAGAGATCTGTAGGTTTATATGAGTCATTAGGAGATTCCTTCTGAAACTCTTTCTGATCTGGGATTTTCTTCCCTAGGTTCAAGTTCCCATGGTTTCTTTTTCCTTGATTCCTGTAACCAGAAAAACAATATTGTTGGAGTTTCAGCACCCTGTCCTAATCACTTTGCAGCCTGGCAATTAGGGTCTGTGCTCAAGAAAAAGCCTAGCATAGGAAGCAGAAAGCAAACTGGGAAAGTCACTTAGTATGGTCTCTTCTTCAAGTTTTAATTTCCCTCCACAATCTTTTTGCTTTTGTTTAGCTTTGGGGCCCTAAGTAATTTTTGGTATTTTGTCCAGGGTTTCTAGTTGTATTCAGCTGTACTAGTAGGCTGTAGAGGACTTAAACACTACCACAGCAGAATTGGAATCACTTAGCTTATTTTTTAAAAGCTTATTCTTAAATATTTTATTTTTAAATTGTTGCTAAAATAAAATGGGTTTTTCTTCCATTATATATCTTTTAACTGATTATTATTAGGATCTGAAGGCTTTTATTAGCATATATTAATTTTGTATCTTCCTACCTTATTTATTTGTGTTTCATCAGTGATTCTTTTGAGTTTTATAGTTATTTTATCTTTGCCTCTCCAAAAAGATATAGTTTTCCATCTTTCATGTCTCTAATCATTTTATCTTATCTAATTTTATTTACTAATACCTATAATACATTATTAAATGATGGAAAAAATTGTGGACATCTTTAATTTATTCTTGACTTTGGTTAGATTACCACTAAAGTATCTCTATTTAGTGGAAATATGGCTTTAGAACTGAGTTATATATATTTAGTGTTAAAGAACCAATTCTTATTTTACTGAGTATATATTTTTAAATAGGAATGGGTGTTATAGAAAGAGTCATATGTTATATTCTATTTGGTATTAATGATAGTGAGCAATATTAAGAGATTTCTAATATTAAAACACCTTGAAATCACATTTGATCACAACGTATCATTAACATACTATTGAAATATATTTGCTGATATTTTATTTTGAATTTTGGCATTAATATTCAAAATGAGACTGGTTTATAACTTCTTTTTATATGTGATTTTGACATCAATATTATTCATGTTTAATTAAAGTAATTTAGAATTTCTCCTTCTTTTCCTATGCTCAGGTGCAAAGATGTTCAGATATCTCTGTGACTGTATCTTGACCTTGCTTCTCTGCTTTCTTTGGGGTAATTGTTATTTCATCTATTTTTCCTGTGAAAAATTGTTTTAAGCCTTTTATCTCTACTGAGGTGAATTTTATTACATTGTATTTTTCAAGGATGCTATCCAATTATTTAATTTTTCAAATACATTTGTATAGAGAGATACAAAATAGTCTGTAAGAACCTTTTAAAATTTACTTTGTTTCAAGGTTATTTTCCCCATATATTTTTTATTTTATATATCTGTGCTTTCTCCTCTTTTTCTGAGTTAGATTAGATAGTGGTTTATCTAGTTTGTTAATTTTTCCCCAAGAACAAGCATTTTTATTGATTTATCAATTTTGTTATATTTTTGTTTCCTGTTTTATTAATTTCTACTTCTATATTTTTAAAAATTTCTTTCTTCTGCTTTCCCCATTGCCTACATAATTTTCTGAGTTGGGAATTTAATTCATTTATTTTTATTTATCTAAGTATCATAAGTACGTAGAGCTATGCATTTTCCTACAGTCACTGCTTTAATTGTGTCTCATAAATGTCTTCGGAAGAGTTCATAAATATTTGCGGAGTTTCCCTCTGTATTAAGCTGTTTCCCTATAGGCTTGGTACTTTAAAAACAGCCTGCCTACATATAATACTCTGGGCTCACATTTTCTTTTCGTGAGTTTCTTAAAATTGTTCTTCCACAATTTTCTTGCTTCATATGCTGTTTTATGATCTTATTTCCTTTGTAAGTGTTTTGGCTTTTTACTTGGGTGCCCAGAAGATTGCCTCTATATATTTAAGTTCTAATAGGTCTGTTATACTGCGTCTTAGAAGTATATCTATATATTAACAATTGACCATTCTGGGTTAGTTTTCTCAGGTAAACAAATATATCCAAGTTTTCTTTTATTTATAGAAAGTTTTACTGGATTATGGTTTAATAATTAGTTCTTTTGTTTCATTGTTTTTTTCTTGTCAGAAACCTAAATGACAATGCCCAATTTTCTTTTTCTCTGATGGTTTTCACCTTTTTTATTTTGTTTTCATTTTCTCGGAATTTTAAATACATTTTAAAACTTCTTATACTGTCAGAGAAATCAATTTTCTCTTGAGTACTTTGAAATTATTCTTTCTATTTAGATGTTTTTGCCTTTTTAATTTCTCTCCTGTGTTCTATCCATTTTTTTTCATATATTACTTTATTTAATTCTGCTTTTCTGATTTAAAATTTTTTCTTTTAGCAAAATGTTTAAAATATTTAATTCAGGGTGGGGTGTGATGTTACAGATTGTTTTCTGAGCTGACAACTAAATTGGGGTTCCAGTACAAATGTGGCTAGCTAAGGGGAAATAAAGGGGAGCAGGATATAATTGTTTACCAGGTGCCTTTCATGGGATACATCTTTTACCTGGCAGAGGGCCTAGTGTCTAATTGTCTAACCTGTAACCAGGAAGATTCCTCACACAGGAAATTTGTTTATACTGGCAGATGCCCTTTTGGCTCTTGTCTCACCTGTGTTCAGTTTATGCCTGCCTGACTATTGCTCTCATTCTGGAAGCTCAACTTTGTGTTTTCCCGTCCCATGTCCGGGAAAGATAGGCCTGGCATAGCCCCTGATTCTCCAGATGGAAGGTAGAAATCCAATACTCCATCACAAAAGAAAAAAATTAAAATATTTTACTTACAGGTCTTGGGCAAGGAAGGTATTGAGGGGAGTCCTCTGTCTTAGGATCATGCTAGGCCAAACTGAAGGAGTCTGACAGAGAGAGAGAGAGAGAGCGAGCGCGTGCGCATGTTGTGAAGTTTATTCTCTGTAGGTTTATTGCCGAGTTAAAAACGAGATAACTGAGGCCAGCACAAGAAAATTAGATGCCAATTTATTCAGCTCCTGGGCGAGGCTCTGTGGTCCGGGGAGAGGGGTCAGCGAAGTTGCACTGGACTTCTCTCAGGAGTGGGGTTTTATAGGGAGTGAAGGCGTTTGATTGGATTTGGAGAAACAGGATGTGGATGGGGTGAGCTGCTATTGGTAGGTAGGTGGGATTTCCGGTGAGCAGGCTAAATGCTGAGTGCAGAGGGGATTTCCAAGGGTGCGGTTAGGTGCCAAGTGCAGAGGGGATTTCCAAGGCGGAGCTAGATGATGGGCATATTCCGATAATGTAATTTTCAAGTGCGGAGGGAGATGGGCGTGTCCAAACTCCCGGCAAGGCAACCAGCCTTACACATGTGACAAGTAGTATTACATGTAAGAGAATACAATGTGGGTTATTTTAAATTCTCAGGCAAATATCTGGATGATTCATTTAAAATAAAACAGTGGAAGAGTGGGTAGTCTAAGTTCCTATCTCTGGCCACCGGCTTGAGCCATTTAGGTGCAGTGAAGAACAGGAAATGGTCAAGGGTGACAGCCTTGCTTCTATAAAATGGTTGCCAAGCCAATATAAAATTATAATAATGTACTACACAGATCTCTGCTTTATTGTTAGTTTTAGTAGGGGAGAATTTTCATCAGTAGAAACGTTTTCTTCTCTTATTTTTTTTTTTCTGTCTTGTAGCAG